CTAACAAATACCAAGAAATGAGTTAATTTTCAAATAATTTTAAACAGAAAATTACATTACCTTGGCACTAACACTTTCACAAATATGATTTAATGATAAAAATTTAATTAAAAAATAAATCGTCCATATGTCAGTACAAAGCATAAGCAGCACTTTTGCTTGCCCGCTCTCATATGTGTGGATAAGACATAGCTGTACATGATATTGATAATAAAGTATCCCTAGAAAATAACCAAAACAAGAAACCATTTGCACAGTCATTTGCATTCCATAAAATCCATTTATATTCCGAGCTATACAACGAAGTTCCAAATGAAGATGCCTATAAACAAAATAGAAATATTTATTTCTTATATCTATATATTTTGATGTGATGAAGAATATATTTTCTATGTAAAATTATAATTATAACTGTACAAGTAAATAGCGAAAGATTGTATGTGGTTTTAGATTAAAAAAATTTTTGTAGATGTTTTTTCTTCAATTTTATTACGTGTTATTAAGATATATTAATTACATTGCAATCCACAACTCATGCTTGCGATACTCTGTGTTTCGAACATAGCGACGACTGACAGTAAGAGACTTTTTCCACATGCATCTTAATCCATAGTCCTCATTCTCTGAGAGTTGCACAATGCGGTCGTTTATTTTATCGAATCTGTTACCGATATATCTGTGGTAAAAAATAAAAAAAGTTTCTTTTATACACTCTTTTTTATAAAGGAGATACCAAAATAATGTGTTTTATTTAGCATTATGTGATTTTTTTATAGTAATAATAATATATTACCTTAACATATATATAATTGTCAAGTCGTGTAAAGTATTGATATGTACAGAGTAAACTATAATCCAAGGTATAATCATCGCAGCTTTCGTATTAGAGTGCTGTGTTACACACACTAAACCGTCAAAAATATTTACCAGACCTACCATTATGAACCACGAAATCAATGACCATTTTATCATTTTTCGTTCTTTATCATATTCTTTAGATATTCCAAGCTTTACAAATGTGTCATCTACAATATCCAGTTTCTTTATGAACTCTCGGTATTTCTATGAATAAAATAGGTAAAAAAAAATTATAAAAGTAAGAAATATCTTATCCTTGAAAAAAAAAACTAAAACTTGGTAGTGTTTGATACTATGTAGAAAAATACTTTTTTAATACACTATCATCAATTGTGTTTTTATCTTTAAATAGATTTATTGAAAATTATAGATGTATTGAAAATTCTTAAACTTGACGTACTATATTAAAAAATATTGCTTGCAAATAGTAGTTAGACAAAAGAAAAAAAATGACATGTTTTATATATTACATATATTACACATGTAAAATTATTGATATGTGCAAAACACCACTGCAAAGTTTTGTAAAATGAAACCAATATAATTACTTCGTGTTTGAAAAATGTAATAAGTATATGTAACATTGAAAGAAATAAATTTAGTCCTATTGAAGAAGAATCTATAACTTTCATAATTCCATCTGGCACTATGAATGTTACTGTTACAGTATGGAACGCCCAAGCATAAACAGTCCACACAATTAGTATATAAATGACACTGAAACAAAGTCTTAAATGACTTTTCGGATATATGTAAATCCCGCAACCCGTGAAGAAAGTGACTACAAAATACGGATGCATGACTTTTTCCATAGTGTCATACATAATCGCAACACTTGCACTTCGCTATGATAACTACCAGGTCTTACCCTGGTAGTCGATGAATATTGTTGTATATTTCATCACGGTGATGGCACTTAAGTAGATTTTCACAGTAACAGTATTGAATTAGTAAGTATTATTATGAGTTTTTTTTGAAGTAAACAAATCGATCGTATAACTTATAGGAAAAAGAGAAATACAGAAACGTAAGGGTGACCGAGGCACATTGAGACATGCAAATTATATTATTACAAATATCACACTGTACACCATATGCAATATTGGGTACATTACATTATAGACACATCCTTTAGTTTTAAGAAAAAAATATAATATTTATTTATATTTTTATACGAACAAAGGTATTTAATGGTAAACACGATTGTGCAAATTTGTCAATGTGCCCCATATCCGAAATGAGTTGTCACATAAGCTAAACTTTTGATTTTCTTGAGTGTAAGACAAAAGTAAATATCTAAAACACGTAATTAATAACTTCTTAGTTCTTCTTTTGAATCACTAAAAATTATTTTTGATTTACCACAACTCACTTGTACAAAATATATTTTTACATGTATGTTTTTTTCTGAAATGTTTTCATAATATCGAGCTACCGTACGATAGTTTATTTTAAATACTAATGCAGTTTGTTGCATTGACAATGTTGTTGTTAAAGATATAGCGTGACGTATCTTACTGCGCACGGCGAATACTTCGTCGCGCATATTCATCGTCTGACAACTTGCTCCGTCTGTTTCACAATGAGTTACCTTACCTCAAACGTTCATTTTAAATAAAAAATATTATATTTAAACTGCGATACGATGACGAGTAAATAAATATAGTAAAACTTATTTAAAAGTTTAAAGATGTTGATAATGGCTGTTTGAAGGAGACACGGAAACTAATGTGTATATTGATTGAATTAATTTATTGAAAACAATGTAAAAAACGTTTTCGACCTCTAGATTAGACGTTTGCTTCAAACAGCCATTATCAATGTCTTTATATTTTTTAAAAACTCTTTAAGAGGGTCCTGGACCTTCCTGTTATTACCGATCGAACGAGCAATACGTACTTTAGACTATTCTTCGTAATTATTGCTCGGATAGAAAAACGGCTCTACAGAATTAAAGAAAATAATAAAATGAATGGCAGACACTTTTCAATATATCAAAACTTTAACAAAAATTTTTGATGTTACAATCATCTTTACTTTTAGTGTACTGGTATTTGAAGTTCAAGAGTTATGTATAAAAACCAACGAGTGTCTGCCATAGACACAACATTGAAGAATGTAATAAGACTATTAGACTACGATTTGGAAGCCTACAATAAAAAAATAGAAAAATCTAAACTACGTTTCGTGTACACGTTTGCTAGCATTTCAGTGCTAAGAATATAAAAATGATTAGTATATAGTTCACGGATATTGGAACAGATGGCGCTGCAACATGTCGATAAAAAAAATTGCTACTATCTCTGGTTTTTTAACAAGGAGAGTGTACACCCTGTGGGTCACCGATTTTGATGCAATTTTGCAGAATGGTAGTACGCATATAGAAATAACAAATGCTATTCGGAGACGATGCAACTCTCAAGCATTTGCGAGAAATCGCAGTTTGAATTTTCGCGTGCTCCGTAAGTACAATTCGAAAAGAAAGTTTTTCGAAGTGGCGGCGTAGCGCAGCGAACTAATCGCCGCGCTAGTAGTCCGCGGGTCGCATGTTCGCTCCTATGCTAGTTTTGTCTTGTTTTTTGTTTTTGTTTGTGGTATCACACTGGTAGGATTATTATAAAGACAAATATAGAAAACATACTATATATATAATATTATATTGAAAATATTTAATAATATGCAGAAAAATACATTTTGAAACTATTTTTTTTGGTGTGCTTTTAATAAAAACACA